GTGCTCTTTTTTTGTGAGTTCCCTTTGTTCTGCAATATGCAAAGATACAGAATGGGGGATGCCCGGCTCGAGAGCAGTACGTGTGAAAAAGATCTTGGAGTCCTCGTGGACAACAAGTTAAACATGAGCCAACAATGTGATGTGGCGGCAAAAAAAGCCAATGGGATTTTGGCCTGCATCAATAGGAGCATAGTGCCTACATCTAGGGAAGTAATGCTACCCCTCTATTCCGCTTTGGTTAGACCACACCTGGAATATTGTTTCCAATTCTGGGCACCACAATTGAAGAGAGATATTGACAAGCTGGAATGTGTCCAGAGGAGGGCGACTAAAATGATCAAGGGTATGGAGAACAAGCCCTATGAGGAGCGGCTTAAGGAGCTGGGCATGTTTAGCCTGAATAAGAGAAGGATGAGAGGAGATATTATAGCCATGTATAAATATGTGAAAGGAAGCCACAGGGAGGAGGGAGCAAGCTTGTTTACTGCTTCCATGGAGATTAGGACAAGGAACAATGGCTTCAAACTACAAGAAAGGAGATTCCATCTGAACATGAGGAAGAACTTCCTGACTGTGAGAGCCGTTCAGCAGTGGAACTCTCTGCCCCGGAGTGTGGTGGAGGCTCCTTCTTTGGAAGCTTTTAAACAGAGGCTGGATGGCCATCTGTCAGGGGTGATTTGAATGCAATTCCTGCTTTTTGGCAGGGGGTTGGACTGGATGGACCATGAGGTCTCTTTCAACTCTTTGATTCTATAATTCTAAGCCATGGCCAAAACCAAAGAAAACGGTATAGTTTGAACAACACAATCAGTCGGTATTTCAGAAATCAATACCATCTCTTGTTTCCTAGCTGCTTCCTTCATCCCTCCCACTTAAGAAGGAAATCTGCTTACCATATTGCTTTACTGCACTGCTTTGCTGAAAAACCATAAGTATGTGCTTTTGATAGTTAATGGTGAATAAAGAAATTTTGGTTTGTAAAAATGGGCTACAAGTGACTACAAACTTTTGCTGTTTACTTGTTCCATCGCTTCTAATTCTTTGTGACCTCATGGACCAGCCCACGCCAGAGCTCCCTGTCGGCCATCACCACCCCCAGCTCCTTCAGGGTCAAGCCAGTCACTTCAAGGATACCATTCATCCATCTTGCCCTAGGTCGGCCCCTCTTCCTTTTTCCTTCCATTTCCCCAGCATAATTGTCTTCTCTAAGCTTTCCTGTGTTCTCATCATG